CAAAGGAATGGAATGGGTAGCAGGCTTCAAACTAGTAACAGAAAGTTGTTCTTCACAAAGCAAAGAGTCAACCTTTGGAACTCCTTGCTGCAGGAGGCTGTGAAGGCTAGAACTAGAACAGAGTTTAAAGAGAAGTGAGATCAAGTGATGGAGGTTGGGTCCATGGAGTGGTATTAGCCAGGGGGTAGGAGTGGTGTCCCTGCCCAAAGTTTGTGGAAGGCTGGGGAGGGAGGGGACCAGACAAGCTCTGTGCCGTGCCAGGTGCAGGGTCTGCTAGCTGGGTGCTGGCAGTCTTGCACCTGGCACGGGCACTGTAGCCAGCCCATGCCCCTTTAAGGGGTCCGGGGCCGGGAGGGGGGCAGTAGAGTTTCCCTGGTGTTGGCCAGAGTGGCCATCAGGGAAAGCTGGGGAGGGCTAGCCTCCCACTAGTTCAAATTAAGGGGCCACACACCCCTTAATTCGAACTAGTAAGTTCGAACTAGGCTTAGTCCTCGTACAATGAGGTTTACCTAGTTCGAACTAAGCGCTCCCCTAGTTCGAATTAAGTTCGAACTAGCAGAGTGCTAGTGTAGCGCCTATGAAAGTTAATTCGAACTAACGTCCGTTAGTTGGAATTAACTTTGTAGTGTAGACATGCCCTAAGTTCCTCCCTAGATTGTCACTTCCCATTTTGTATGTACGGTTACAATCCCCTGTTACTGGTCCTGACGTTGTCCAATCCCACCTGTGTAAGGACTCACAGCTAAGTAGCTAATTTGGCATTTTGCCAGGGCAATAGGGTTAAGAGCCTGACACTTGGGCTACGGCTACACTGTAGCCTTCTTCCGGAAAAGCTTATGCAAATGAAACGCAGTGTGGAATATCACTGCGCTTCATTTGCATAATTAATTAGCAGCTGCTTTTGCGCAAGAGGCTTTTGCGCAAAAAGGAGCTGTGTAGATGGCTCCTTTTTGTGCAAACCCCCTGTCTTGCTCAAGAGCCATTCTTCCAAGAGCAGCTACTCTTGGCCAGCTAGGGAAGAGATAGAGCCTGTAGTGCCTTCCTCACAGGGCCTGTTGGGCCAGGTCAGAAGACAGGAGCCATGGGGAGACAGACAGCATGGGGCTGCTGAGTGGTCAGAGAAGGGCTCGTAAGGGCTAATGGGGAAGGACAGACTGGGACAGAGGCTGCATGGGAGTGAAGATGGAGGCCCAGAAGGTGATATAGGACCACACTGGGGAGGGGTGATGGCTGAGAAGGAGCACAGAGACACATGGGGACAGAGGGTGCAGGGCAATATAGAGACAGGGAGTGGCTAAGTGGGGGGCAGAGACACACATGGGAATAGGGATTGAGGGAGTCTATGTCTGAATGGGGACGGAAGGACACATGGGGACGGGACAGATGTATCTGACTGAATGGGAGAGGCTGGGATCAGCCAGCATCTGGCGAGGGAAAACTCCCTAACAGTCCCTCCACACGTCTCACCCCTAAAAACCTATTACCTACTTTTCCCACCCATAGGGAGCAGCCCTCTGTAGGGTATGTCTACACTACAGAGTTTTGTCAGAAAAACGGCCGTTTTTCCGACAAAACTTGAGATATGTCCACACTGCAATTGCATTCTTTCGAAAGAAAACCGAAAGAACAGAGGGGTTTTCCCGATGGCGGTACGCCTCTTTCTATGAGGAAGAACGCCTTTTCCAAATGAGCTCGTTCAGAAAAAGGCGTGTGTGGACAAGGAAGAGGGTTTTCTTTCGAAAGAAGAAGCCTCCAGGAAATAACACAGGTGAACTGGTGGACACTCCGTCCCAAGTAATCACAACTCTATAGTTCTTGTCTCCTGGCCCCTCTTAAAGCTTCAGGCACCATGAACAAGCTTTGTGGCAGGAAGCCGCCTTTTCCAAATGAGCTCGTTCAGAAAAAGGCGTGTGTGGACAAGGAAGAGGGTTTTCTTTCGAAAGAAGAAGCCTCCAGGAAATAACACAGGTGAACTGGTGGACACTCCGTCCCAAGTAATCACAACTCTATAGTTCTTGTCTCCTGGCCCCTCTTAAAGCTTCAGGCACCATGAACAAGCTTTGTGGCAGGAAGCCGGCCTAGGAGCAGCACCTGACTGTGCGGTTCTCCCTGCCACAGGCCTGCTCACCCATGGCCCAGCCACAAGCCCCTTGAGATTCCTCTGGTCCTCGCAGGGAGCAGCCCCAGGGGTCCTAGAACCCACCTTGGGGGACCAAGAGGTGGGCACCCTCCTGGCCCGGAGCGGAGATTCTGTCCCTCCTCGAGCTGTTGGGTGAGGAGGAGACATTGCAGGATCTCTGCTCCAAGGCCGCAACAGGGACATTTATGGCCGGATGGCTGAGTCCCTGGAGGAGCACAGACACCCACCCTGGACCTTAGACCTAGGTGTAAAGTGTCAAATTTAAGCATGAATGACAGTTCAGAGGATTCTCTTTCAAGTCTGGTGTTAAAATGTCTCAACAAAGACGCTAATTATCGTACCCATTACAAAGATAGCTTCCCCAATTATCACCTCTAATATCGTTAGCTCACAGACATTTACCTCCCCCCCATCCCCTCTCTGTTCGGAAATTTGATTTGTCCTTTTCATATGTGTTCATTTTTTTATTGTATCCTTTGGTATATATGGTTGTGCCAATTTTCTTCCACTATTTGATCTGAGGAAGTGGGTCTGGCCCACGAAAGCTCATCACCTAATAAACCATCTTGTTAGTCTTTAAAGTGCTACATAGTCCTGTTTTTTGTTTCAGCTACCCCAGACTAACACGGCTACATTTCTATTACTATTTGGCAGTATGGACGCTTTCTTTTGAAAGATGTTTTTTCAGAAGATCTCTTCCGAAAAAACTTCTTTCGAAAGAAGCTTGCAGTCTAGACATAGCCTAAGTTCACACCCAGGCTCCTTTCCAGCAATTCCTTCCCTCTCCCTTCGTTCTTCTGTTATCCCTGACTCCCCCCAGCCTTAGCATTGCCTCTGAGGGGTATGGGAAATACAGTTCTGTATTATAGTTTAAATGAATTATTATTCAGAGTTCTGAATTAATATGCCTAGCAGGGAATCCATTTGTCAAAAAAAAAAAAACATTTACTGACTCTTTTTTGCTGTCTATAGTGTTACAGACTTATCTGCTGACAGGTTTTTTTTTTAAACCAAGATAATTGAAACAGGTGTGATTATCTTGTGATATTTTGACAAACAAAGTATAAAGAACTAGAGGCTTTACCTGGTGTTGCTTGGGTCCTTAACTGAAATACTTTTTGTTTTTCTTCATTTGAATCAGTGCTCTGGGGTGGGGCTGGGGATGAGTGGTTCAGGGTGCAGGCTGCCCTAGGGAGAGAGGACAACCCCAGCCCTCTGCCACCGCAGCAGCTTGGGGCCAGGGAAGAGGTGCCTCTCCATGGCTGCAGCAGCTGCAGTGGGCACAGCAAGGAAAGGGTTGCATATCCCCCAGCTGGGGGACAGACAGACACACATACAGACACACTCTCTGAAATATGTAGTAGATAGATGTCTCTTTCTCCACCCAGGCCCTTTGCTGCCCCAGTGAGGCTATGGCTGTCCTGATCCCCGTCTCTGGCCCCTTGTGGCTCTCCTATGATCGTTATACAGTATATTTGTGCCTTCCAGCAAACCTCTTCATTTCCCTTTTATGAGAAACTATCGAATTCCAGGCACATCCCATTGTCCTGGCACAACCAAACCTTGACTTTGCTTTAAGTTATGATAAGAGGAAGCTGCATATCAAATTTGGTGGCCCTAGCTCTTACGAGGGGTTACTAGGAGTAGTAAGGAGCTCTTCCCATTTAGGAGTAGTTCTTGAACAAAGAAACTCACAGACAGATACACACAAACGCTCCCAAATATATAGACTATTTTGCAGAATTCTCAATGTCGTGTGCAGAATGTTTCATTTTTCAGTGTGGAATCCACCCAGGAGTAATATCTCTCTCCCTGCAGCACAGCCTTTGGCACCTCATTGGGACACTGTGGTCACCATTGACTCAAGCAACAAAGCCAGGACTATGCTAAAATCTTCCCAGCCTGTTCCAGACAGCACCCCTGTGATGTGACGGAGGAGGGTTACCTGAGCACACAACACTGGATTCTTGCCCCACGGCCGAGCCCTGCAATCGGAGAGGGCAGCTTCAGCCCCTGTGCAGTTAACCTCGTCCAGCCAGATGGTGTCAGAACCTCTCCCAAACTGAGCGCTCCCTAGGGCTGCTACCGCCGTCCCGCAGCTCAGCTGCCGGCACACGACTCCAGCATCAGTTAAGTCCCAGTCATCATCACACACGGTTCCCCACTGATGGTTGTGAAGCACCTCGACTCGCCCGGCGCAGCGATTGGGGCCGTTCACCAGCCGGAGAAGACCTGGGTCCGGAATGATCGTGTCTGCAATTGCAATAAACACTCAAGGAAATTCCTGTGCACCCAGTCACAAGTGATGCTGATGAATGAATCCTTACCACAGATAGGTGAGACTGGCCTCCTCATACAGCTACTACTTGCCCAGGGCTCAGTCCTCTCCACTGACATGCTGCCACTGCTGGGGTGGGACATGGCAGCTTAGAGTCAGGGCACAGAAATATGGTGACTGCGCATGACAGGAATTTGGGGGAAATGTGTCCAGTCAGAGCTGTGGGGACATCAGAGGTTCAGGACTAATTTTCTGAGGTGCAAATTGTCCTGCATGGCTGAGTTAGGTGCTTAACTCTTGATAAAGTACTCCTGGATTTCTAGTTCCCAGGAGTGTCTGCTATCATAGAATCATAGAATACTAGTAATTGAACGGACTTCAAGACTTCAAGTCCAGCCTCCTTGGTCCTCACAGCTGGACCAAGGACCATTTAGATCATCCCTGACAGGAAAGTTAAGAATCATGTCTCATCAGGAGGGAATTGTGGCCTGTGCTTGAAAATAAATTAGTTGTATCATTTTGTGAACATAAAAAATGTGCCTCTCTTACCTTGGAAAGATATTGTCCTGGGACCAATCCTGTTCCCATTGCAAATCATATTGTCAGCTGAGTCAGACCCGGTGTGGCACTAAATATTGGAGCCCAATGTAAGAGATTGCAAGTATTTTTAAAGGGGGCATAGAGTGCAAAGGAGATGTAAAGTGCTACAGTTGTTCTTCTCTGTTTCTTTCTTTAAAAACTGGAGCGCGTGAGGCCAAATTCTAAAGTCTTCCTGGCACTATATTTCAAATATAGGGAGAATCTGGCCCTGAAAGAGCACGAATGATTAAAGGTCTATATGACCTATCAAGGAAGACTGAAAGAATTGGGCTTATTCAGTTTGGAAAAGAGACGACTGAGAGGGAACATGATAGCAGTTTTCAGGTATCTGAGAGGATGTCACAAGGAGGAGGGAGAAAATTTTTTCTTTCTGGCCTCTGAGGATAGAACAAGAAGCAATGGGCTTAAACTGCAGCAAGGGAGGTTTAGGTTGGACATTAGGAAACAGTTCCTAACTGTCAGAGTGGTTAAACAGTGGAATAAATTGCCTAGGGAGGTTGTAGAATTTCTATCTCTGGAGATATTTAAGAGCAGGTTAAATAAATGTCTATCCGGGATGGTCTAGAGTCTAGACAGTGCTGGGTCCTGCCATGAGGGCAGGGGACTGGACTCAATGACCTCTCAAGGTCCCTTCCAGTTCTAGTGTTCTATGTTTCTATGTCCCCTCTCAGTCTTCTCTTTTATACAGTAAACAAACCCAGTTCTTTCAGTCATCAGTCACAGGTAATGTCTTCTAGACCAGGGGTCAGGTTTTAATGGGGGCTCTCCAAGATTTTGGCAAGTGCTTAAGGGCTGTATTTCTACCAAGGGAGCTTGTACAAGGACTCAGGCTGCTGAGCCATATTTACCCCTATAGAGGGGAGGGCTATAAAGACTAAGCCTCAGGGCCATATTAACCCTTATAGAGGGGACTGGTATTTGGGACTCTGGCAGTCAGGCTGTACATATCCTAATAAAGGAGAACTGAGAACTAAGACCCATACTCTGGCCATTGAGCTGTATGGACACTGATAAGCGGGCCTGCGGGGGAGGTTTTGACCACGGGACCCCGCTTGAGGGGAGCGCATCCTTCGACAGGCAGGTAGTTGTGGGGAGAGGGTGTAAGATGCCCAAAGGCAGGCTCTGGCTGGGAGGCGCTTACCTAGGCAGCTCCCAGCCAGCAGCCCTGCAGGAACCTGAAGGCTGCAATCGCAAGCTGCTCCACATGGCTCTGCTCCAGGAAGGATGAAGGGGTGGGAGGAGGGAGGGAGGAGGCTTGATTGACTGCCCCTGCTGCCAGCAAAATATCTCAGCTGCTATTGGTCGGAAACTGTCCAATGGGAGCTGAGAGGCAGAGCACAAAGCCTGCTTCACCCAAACTCCCTCTCAGACTCCACTCATCCCCTGCACACTAGTCTCCTACCCCCAAGCTCCCTTCTGCACCCAGCCTCTGTCCCAGACCTCAAGCCTCCTCCTCCCAGAATAGAGAAGCTACATTTAAAGTAGCTGCCGCTAAGGGTGCCAATGAGGCAGCCATGGGCTGGATCTGGTGGGTTGGTGGGGCAGATTCGGCCCACTGGCAGCCGCTTGCCCACCTCTGCTCTAGGCCTTTAATCATTTTTGTTGCTCTTCTCTAGACACTCTCCAATTTCTTAACATCTTTCTTGAAATGAGGTGCCCAGAGCTGGGCACAGTACTCCAGCTGAGGCCTAATCAGCGCAGAGGAGAATGGAAAAAATGGTTACTTACCCCTGTAAGGTTGTTCTTCGAGATGTGTCCATTCCACGTAGGTATGTGTGCGCTGTGTGCACGTGTTGTCGGAGGATTTTCCCTTAGCAGTACCGGTTGGGCCAGTAGGGGAGCCCCCTGAAGTGGCGCTGATAAACCGGCTAAGATATACACCTGCTGGCCCTCCAACCCATTGGTTCCTTCTTACCAGACTACCCCAAAGGAGGGGAGGTGGACGGGATTTGGAATGGACATGACAACACATCTAGAAGAACAACAGTTACGAAAGGTAAGTAACTGTTTCTTCTTCTTCGAGTGATTGCTCATGACCATTCCACGTAGGTGACTCCAAAGCAGAAAGCCAGGAGGTGGGATCGGAGTCCTAACCTTCAACTGAGTGTAGGACAGACCTGCCTAGGGCTGTATCCTCCCTAGCCTGATGAGCCAGTGCATAATGGTTGGCAAAGGTGTCTTCTTCTTAAACCCTTGTACTCCGAGTGGAGCATAGGTCATTTACAAGTCTCCTCCACTTCACTCTGTCTCGAGACAAAACTTCTAGCTGACTCCAGGAGTACCTCAGTTGTTGTCCTTCAATCTCAGTAGATCTTCTCCACGTTGTCCAAGGTCTTCCTCTTTTGCGTTTTCCTTGCAGGTTCCGTGTGAGAGCTTGACGGATTTTGCTGAATGATGGTTTTCTGAGAGTGTGGCCTAGCCATCCCCACTTTCTTCTCTTGATTTGAACGTCAAGTGGTTCTTGTCCTACTCTGTTCCAAAGCTCCTCATTTGTGACAAAGTCTTGCCGTTTGATGTGAAGGATGTACCTCAGGCATCTGTTTATGAATGTCTGTAACTTGTGATTTGAAGACTTTTTAGTACGCCAGGTCTCGCATCCATACAAGAGCACACTCTTCACATTTATGTTGAAGATTCACAGTTTCGTCTTCACAGATATTATTTGTGAACTCCATATGGGATGAAGAGTCTTGAATGAAGCTGGCGCTTTCCCTATCCTAGCATGGATATCCTTGTCTGTTCCTCCATCTCTGCCCATAATATTCCCCAAGTAGATGAACTGCTCCACATCTTCCAGGTCGTCCCCTCCCAGTGTGATGGTGTTGTTGTTGGACTGGTTGATCCTCATTGTCTTGGTCTTTCCCTCGCGAATGCTCAGTCCAATCACTAGGCCTGAGCCTTAGTGGAGTGGCCTGTGATGGACGGCACTGGCACCCCGACCAGCTCATAACACTCCTTAATACAGGAAGAGATCCACTGTGTGGAAACCAGCTTCCCTGTCAACTGTTCCACCATTGCAACAAACAGCTGAGAGGACTTGTGGAAGGGCCTTGTCCTATCTATATAATACTCCAAAGCTCTCCTGATATCTAGCGTGTGTAATGTTTGTTCTTTGCCCGAAGCATGGGGCTTAGGGTAAAATACTGGGAGGAAAATGTCTTGGGAGACATGGAAATGAGACACTACCTTTGGTGTCCTCAAAGAAGACTGTATAGGGAGGGTCCGAAGTGAGGGCCCTCAGCTCAGATACCTGTCTAGCCGGCATGATAGCCACCAGGAAGGTTACATTCCAGGAAAGGTGCAGTAGCGAACACAATGTGAGGGGCTCAAAGGGGGGGCCCTTAAGTTCAGTCAGGACCAGTTTGAGGTCCCACTGAGGTACAGGTTGACGCATATGCGGGTAGAGCCTATCCAAGCCCTTCAGAAAGCAGTGGACC